TTATTGAGCCACTCCAGAGTAAAAAGAAACTAGCAAACAGAGTCAGACCTGACTAATATAGATAGTTCCTCGTGAGGTACCAGATGAGTATAAACTAGTAAATCAAGTTGCTGCAGGCTTTGAGTCTCTCGTCTGTCCTTGGTGTACAATGAACAAAAATATAGATCGAATCAACTCCATCCATTTCAACGTTCAAAAGCTAGGTAATTGGACTGAGGCTGGTTTTCAGGCTGTTCACTCGCAGCTATCTGCAACATCCCTGATGGCTTTCCAAAACCGTATAGCCCTTGACATGCTGCTCGCAGAAAAAGGAGGTGTATGTGCCATGTTTGGAGAAACGTGTTGCACGTTCATTCCTAATAACACTGCTGCCGATGGCAGCCTCACTCGAGCCATAGAGGGCCTTAAAACGCTTAATGGCAAAATGAAAGACCACTCAGGAATAGATAAATTCTTTTGGGACGATTGGATGAATGTCTTTGGAAAATACAGGAATCTTGTAGCTACAGTCCTAATCTCTGTTGCTGTTTTTGCAGCTATTTTGACCTTGTGTGGATGTTGTTGTATTCCCTGTATTCGTTCTCTTCTTAACCGCCTTATCACCACAGCGTTGTCCCCTGTGGAGCAGCAGATGCAGGAGTTGTACCCGCTGCTCCATCAGCAGGACGAGGAGGACAGACTTGATGACACTCAATGGCCTGACCTCTGCCCCAATCCTGATGATGAGTATGATTCTGACTAAAATAACATCTTGGTACCTCCATGTGTAAATTCTTTGTAGTCATAAAACATGAACTCACATCTTAAAATCTAGAGAAGTGGGTGAACTAGAGGGATTATGAGAATTTGAGCAAAGTAATGATAAACAGGAGGGAAATGTTAGAATAATGTGCATAAATGTATATAGAAGTTATCATTTTTACTCATATTCTTATGTAAGAGTTTACTACAAGTGTGAACTGTTTTAACCTCTTGTTACACATCATATAAGAGTGTTTTCTAACTTCTCTCCCCAATAGCTTTATTACACAGCACATGAGTGTTTCTTCATTTTTCTGTGACCTTGTTTTTCCTATTAGCAGGTGTGTGTGTGTGTGATGTATCCTCCACTGTGAATCGTGGGAAGTATTGAGGAGGATCCGCTCCTATCAGAAGGAGCTCGTTTGATGCAACAATGTCGCCTTGACCCTCACATATTCTCTGTTGTTCATAATTATGCTTTATGAGAGTGCTTACGTTGCTGCATATATTTTCCCCCCATCCTTTAGAAACATTGCGTAACCAGGGACAACCCTAAATAAAAGAGGGGGAACAGAAACCACCTTCAGAGTGGTTTTGAGATTGTACCTGAAACTATCTCAGTCCATTCTCCTCGAGTATATACCATTGTCTTTCTCTTCTTTATGTGTTTTCAGTCAAATGTTGCAGGTTTTAGACCCAACACTAACAAAACTCATTAGAAAAATGAATAATAACTGTTGCTCCTTAACATCCTTGGCTGCTTGTGTAGTGTTCTTGTCAATGGGTGTTCTCTGTTTGGGTATCCAATGCAATGTTCTAGTTCACATCCTCTGTCAGGTTTCAGTTTCTATTTACATTGTCCATGGTTGATTGTCCTTGTTGGGATGTATGGGTCCATTACAGCTGTTTGGATCTCTGGAGCACCACCTTTCTTTCGCTGATCTCCCCAACTGCTGTCCTGAGAATGAAAAAATTAAGCAGTATCTTGCCAAAAAACATACATTTTTGTTTGTTTGACATGTTTATCATATTTCCCCCCTAAGTAAAACTCCCTCTTTATGACATCAAAATGTAAACCTGTATGCTGGCCAATCTTACCCAGAGGGTTTTCCATCACCCCATTCATTTTTTCACAGATACCTTGGCTTTGCGGATGGTACACAGCTTCCAAACATTGTTTAATTCCCAGTTTTTGTAAAATCAATTGCACTGTTTTATCCACAAACTCTTTTCCATTATTTTAGAATATTTAATCTGAAAGTCCCCATCTGCTTAAGACCCTACACAACAGCTTGGCAACATACTGAGCATCTTTCCACTTGGTTGGACAAGCTTCAACTGTTACACCTTCGAACATTATTTTTTAGACAGATTGTACATCTACTTATGACATAATCAATTTGCTCACGCAAATGTGGTGCCCAAAAACCTACTCCTTTATGATGTTTCTTTTAACTTCCCCCCTTGCATCATTGGCTAACCTTGGCCTCCTGAATCGTTCTTTTCCACAAATAATCAATGTCCTTGACAAGAACCATCTTCTACTTATTTACCAAAAACTTTCTTACTTTCTCCCTTCACTCATCCTCTGATAGAGCTTTCTTCTACTCAATAACAGTCACTAGTACACTGGCCTTGTTGTCTACCATTATAACAAGCTTCTGAAAATGCGTGGAAGTTTGGATTGAAGTTTCTTTCTCTATTGCTTCCACTCCATGTCTGCAACTGACTGAAGACTGGTTGTGCATATGGAACTAAAGGAGCTACCGGCATCAGCTGGGGTATTTGGCACTGAATCTGTTCCTGCTGTGGTTGTATTGTTGCTTGCTCTGATTGAGATTGACTGTGCATAACCAAAGCTTGCTTCTTCTCCTCCTTTTTGCTATCTCCTAAATGTATCTGGTTAAGTTTTCTCAAAATCTCCTGATCCTGCTCTCTCTGCTCATTTTCTTTCTTCCTGTACAGCTCCACTTGATGTGCTATATGGTCTGTGTATATCCCTTTTGTCATACTACCAAGACCAACCAACTCTGCTAACTTACTTCTCACTGGCTGGGGCAACCCTTTTTGTATTTTGGCTCGCAGAATAGACTGCTCCATTTGGTGCAGGTCTGGATCATTTCCTGTAACATTTCTCCAAATCTGATGAGCCTTTGATACATATGCTCTTGGATTCTCCTGTGGTCCTAGTGGTTCAATTATGATGTTATCAGGATGTGAATTTGTTGGAAATGCATCTCTCAGTGATCTCCACATCCGAGCTCTACTAGCAGCAAACAGTTCTGGATCATTCACCGCAGTCCCTGCATACCGGTTAAGTCCTGCTCTCTGCAAGATCTCTTCCATAGCTTGGACCCCTAAAATGCTGGCTAAGAGTCTCTTGATATCTCCCATGGCAGGCTGCCATCCCACCATAATTTCTTCCAACTTTGAAATCCAAGGATGAGCTCCCTCCTGAAGAGTAGGTAGCTTTTCAAGGATGTCTGACATGTCTGTATTTTGCAGAGGCTTATATTCCAAATTCTGTCCTCGGACAACAACTGGACACATTTTTTCAGCTAGCTTATTTCCTTTTCTTGGGCGTAAGGGATACCCTGAAGTAGATGGTTTTTCTACTCTTTTTTTCTTTAAATCTTTCTTTGCTATGTGTAGCTCTTCTAATTCTTCTTCCCTCAATATGTTTTTCAGGACTGGCAGCATCCCTTAGGTTGACATAGCATTTATCAATGCGTTCCTCAATCCTTTTCAAAGCTCTGTGCTTCTCTTCAGCTCCAGTCCTTGGTGTTGACCAAAGAGAATATGAGGACTCTTCACTCTCTGATTCTTCATCACTATCATCATCTTCACTCTCCTCAGAGGTGTCTTTTACTGGCTCTTTTTTCTCAGTGATTTTTCTCCTCTTTTCTCTGCTTTGGCTAATATTTGTCTAACTGCTGGGTCGTAGCCTCCAATAGCCTCCTCTGACTCACTCTGACTGTCATCTCCCATTTCTATTTTTCTATACCTTTGTTCACTTCTAGCTGCTGGAGACCTGTTTTCGTTTTACTTTTACTGCTTGAGTACATCTTCATAGTTGTTTTAGCTGTTCCTGTCTCTATTATCTGCTCCTCCTCGTCTTTGATGTGATACATGCCCTCCTGTTTAATTATGGGGAGCTGAGGATAGACATCAGTGTACCTTATCTCTTTCTCATATGGTGGGGGGCTCTTCATTGGGGTCGTATGTGAGAAAGTTTCATTCACTTTTGTCATCAATTTTTCTGTTACTTTTACATTTTTGTTTATTTCTTCCACAATCCTGACATTTCTTTCCTTATCTGCTTTGAGCATCTTCTGCCCCTCTTGCTCAAAAAATTGCAAAATGCCAAGCTCCATCTGTCTCTTTTGTTGACGTTTCTTTCCCTTCTTTCCTTTCTTTTGCTCTGCCTTATAGGTGGACACTAGCACTTGCATTGTTTTAACTACTTCTGGATTGAGGGTACCTTCCACTGGCCAAGGCTGGTCAATATCCGGCCACCTCTTACTCCATTTCTTCGACACCTTTTCGATACCCTTAACAAGTGGATTGCTCTTCATCACTACATCAACTGGAGTGATAGCTTTCACACTTTTAACATCCATCTTTGGCATTGTGCTACTGCCTTTAAACTTCTTCATAGACATCAAAAACACCTATTGATGACCAAGCAGGTTATTCAAATCGCAGTTTAGCTCTTTTCACCTTAAGACAAGAAAAGCCAAAGAAATCTGCCAGCCCCAGAGACTTAAAACTTCTCAACACCCAAAAAAGATCAATTCATGTGATTTTACCAAGCAGCAATGACAAACCACATCCACACGCTTCAGAAAAAGTTAGACCTCTTGGTCATGCTCTATTAATTCAACAATACTTCAGTACTTAATCAGCCCTCTCAACTGGTCAGTCTATTGCCAAGCTTTCCTTCTTCCTAACACCAACACAGTGTGTTGGTGTTGGTCTTATTGTCTAGCATCTAAATGTGTTTTCACTATAAATGTGTGTATGTACAACTAAGTAGCAGCAGACACATAGGAGAAGAGTTTGTAGATAAGACTGTACTGGCCTGTCAAATGGGAGCAGGACCTGGTGAGCCTCTCATCCGCAAGCCCCCTCTTGTTTGCAGCACAGCCAATTATCTTCTCATCTGTCCTCTGGGAGCTCCAGATTCAGACACATTCCCTCTTCCTCTTCCCTCTCATACATCAGAGTTAAGGACAAAGGACAAATCAAAACGTTTAGTACAGGGGTGTCAAAGTCAAATGGACGGAGGGCCAAATAAAAAATTTTGCTACAAGCCGAGGGCCGGACTGATCGAATGTTCATTAAAAAATTTTTAAATGACGCATATAGTCTAGTGAACCTAATTGAACCTACTGAAAACCTAACAAATATATTCCAATATGATCAGATAAATAAAGCAATATTTTCTTATGGCTCTGTCAGTAATCTTTAATTTTCAACAGACACAAAAGACAAATTTCCTTTATATAAAAATCCCCATAACATGAACATTAAATGAAAGAAACCGGTATTATTCAAGGCACCATCAGTAGCCTATATTTTCTATTTTAGCAAAAGTGGGCTAAATTTACTTCAAAGAAAAAAAAAATAATAGCAATTTTCTATCATCCACTCAACTGAAATATTTTTAAAATATAATTGGATTGAAATACAATAAAATAAAGTGCAAAAATCTATTAATCAAAAACAACACTTTCTTCAAGGAGAAGTAACATGCATTTTTGATGGGTATCTGAAAGTTAATTTTACTGTTATGCTGACGACTGCTGTGCTAATAAGCCTACTGCTCGGTGCGTCACCGTTGCATTGTGGGAAATGTAGTATTGGTGCGTGTAAAAGATCTGCGGGCTGCCGGCTTGCTGCGGTCTGCGGGCCGGTTCTAATAATAAATCAAGATCATCCCAGGGGCCGTAAAAAACCTTCTCGCGGGCCGGATGTGGCCCGCGGGCCTTGACTCTGACATATGTGGTCTATGGTTTGACCCTAACTTAATTTTACATTGGAATATCCCTTTAAACAGCTGACATTATCATGTTGTTACCCCACAGCTTCCATGCATATGATTGCAAGCTGTCTTTTTTTTACTTTTTATATAAATTTAATTTCATGATGTGGATAAACTGTAGAGAAGCAGTTCTAACATAAACATATGCACCAGACGAAAGCCCTCTCCAAGCATGCACACAGATCACTTTTATTCTTGTCCTTTCTCAATACTGTGGATATGTTTGATTTTTTATAAATCAAATGTAATTAAAACTGTTTTTTAATTATATGACTCTTGAATCATCTGCCAACTTCTTTTAAAATGACCTTTACTCTAAGCAATAATGTTGTGTCTGGGCTGTCCTGGATGTGTAGATGCAGAAGGAGGCTTCGTGACACTGGCTTGCTTGTATAAGAGGAGTTTATTATAAAGACAACACCAGTATCACAACAGCACCGCGGATGCTGGGAGAGGACTGCCAATGGTGTCCAGCTCTCCCAACCAGAGTTTGTGACCCTGTTATATATGGTTAGGGATGTAGGTCCCCCTACATCCATTCTTCATCTCTAATCTAAATTCTTCATCTCTAATCTAATTTTAATCAACGTCTGGATTTTAGTAACCCAATATTGTGGCCTGTGACCTGTGAACTGCGAATCTGCCCTGTCCAGGATATCCTGCCCCCAGAACCATTAAGGAGAATAATGATTAGCACAAGCCCATATTCCACAATTGGAGCTGCTTCTGCTTGAAGTTGTTTGCTCTTTTGTTCTCTGCCACAACTCACACAGCTTTTCAGGTGTTCCTAATCAGCCGACACCCAAAGGTCGGCCATCTTTGGTGTACAGGGCGGCCATTTTAGGTGTACCAAGGGGCGGCCATCTTGAATGTCCCATGGGTGGCCATCTTGGGAGTACAAATCTGAGTTTTGGAGGTTTACCTCGACACCTCCCACTTGACCGTCTCTGTTTCCAACTCAGAGAGGTCACACAAGTCCTTCACACTTCTGTCATTTGTTCTTCAATAGGGAGTAGAATGACAAGCCGTCTGACATCTCTATGAAGAGTTGTGGCTGGGATTTTGTTTTTAAGGCCTTGAGTCTTTTTCCCTGTTTGGGGCATTCCTTTGCCATTTGCCTTTGTGATGGGCACGGGATAGCTGGGAAATGTTCTCACAAGCACATCTCTCACGATGCCTTTGCTGTCAGTGTTGACATCGACAACTCTTGCCAGCTTGTACTGTCCTCGAAGGGCATTTTGGTCAGCCAACCAGACCACATCTCCAACAGCAACATTTCGCTCTTTGGTGTGCCATTTACTCCTTATGAACAGATTTGGTCCAGCCAATTGGCACCACCTCTTCCAGAACTTGCCGACCTCTGCTTGAATACTTTGGAGCCTTTTATAAGGGTAGCCATCAAACTGGAAGTCTCCAGGGTCTCCCTTTGGATTGGCTCGTCCTAAAAGCAGATAATTTGGAGTGATGTACTCTACACAGTCTTCCCTGCTTTGAGTTCTTGCGTCAATGGGCCTTTCATTTGCAAGGTTGGCTGCCATGAAAAGAAACGTCTGGAACTCTCCCCATGTGAAAACGCCATCTCCACCAAGGTTGCTCAAGGCCTGCTTCACTATTCTGACAGCTGCCTCTGCTGCACCGTTCCTATGGGGAAAGTCTGCAGGGTGGATTTTCCAAGACCAGTCTGTACCATGTTTGGCAGCTTTGTCTTCCAGCTTTGACTTGTTTAGCTGGTCAAGGAATTTGTAGAGCTTTTCCAGGGCAGGTTTTGCTCCTACAAAGTTAGTGCCAGGGTCTGACCAAAGTTTTCTGGGGTGCCCTCTCAGTGAAGTGAACCTTTGATAGGCCAGCAGGAAACCTTCAGATGACTGGTCACTCACCACATCTGTGTGTATGGCTCGAGACGCCATACAACAGAAGACGACTCCCCATACTTTGAGTTTGGTCCTTTTCTTGACCTCATCTTTCACTTCATAGGGTCCGAACAGGTCCATGGTGGTAAATTCAAATGGTGCAGCTGGGCATGTTCACTCTGGAGGTAGGTCAGCCATAATTTGTTGACACCGCTTTGCCCGGTTCTTTCTGCACACCACGCAGCAGTCCACTACTTTCTTGGCAAGTCTCCATCCTTTTACCACCCAGGCCTTTTTCCTCATCCGGAGAAGGATTCCTGCTACTCCCTCGTGATTTGCTTGGTGGGATTCTTGTGCCAGCAATGTAGAGACCCAAGCTTCACAGGGTACAATTGGCACTGCAGTTTTGTCCTCGTTGAACATTTGGATTCTACCACCGCAAACCAGGAGTCCAGAGTTCACATCCTTGTATACTGCCAATCTGCTGAGCGTTGTATCTGGAAAAGTTATGCCTTCTTGAGCAGCAAGGAGGAGGTCTTCAAAACCATCCTCCAATTCTTTTCTAGTCAGACCAGCTTGCTTGGGTTGCCTCCCACTTTGGGTGTTCAGGGGCATGGCACTTTCTTCTGAGCCACAGCTTGGCAGCCCGACAGACCCAGGCGATAACCCTCACCAGTTTGGACAGGGAACTGAATCTTCTGTTGTCCACAAGATTTTTTATCCAGCCCTTTCGTCTTGGAAGAATTGAAGTTCGTTTTGCATCTTGACAGGGCGTTTTGGTCTCCTGAGTAGCCATTTGGTGGTCTTTCTGCTGACTCCTTTTTGCTTGGGCTCTTGTTACTGCAGCTGAGAATGCCTTCCTTTGGAGCTTGTTCACGCTCTCCCTGGCATGATCTGCGACCTCTCCAGCTGATTTAATAGGCCATTCCTCCACTGGCCACTTTAGGAATGCCGGTCCATCCTGCCATGTGGAATTCTCCTTTAAATCTTCAGGTCTGCCCCCTCTTGTTATGATGTCAGCAATGTTCTGATCTCCCTGGATCCACCACCATTCTTGCACCGGGGCAGCCTTCTGGATTTCACCCACTCTGTTTGCAAAGAAGGTTTGGTACCCATAACTGTCTCTTTGTATGGCCCCCAGGACTGTTTGGCTGTCAAGCAGGTGGAACCATCTCTCGATTTTAATCCGTGCATGCTTTTCCACATACTTCCTGATCCTCGCTGCAAAGATTGCGCCACACATTTCAGCTTTTACAGCATCTCCTTTCTGATGCAGAGGTGTCAGCTTGGCTTTTGATTCCACAAATCGAACTTCAATGCCATGACTTGTCTCCCATCTCAAGTACATTACAGCTCCATAGGTTTTGTCACTTCCATCAGAGAATGTGATGCCCCAAGGGCTTCCCTTCCAGTCAGCTGGTGTGAGGCTCCTGTGGAATTTCACTTGTCCAAGCTGCACATACTCCTTGAAAAGCTGTATGGCTTCTTCTCTGAGGCTTTCTGAGAGTGGTTGGTCCCAAGTTTCTTGGGTCAACTTGCCATCTCCTCCCTCTTGGAATGCTTTCCGGACAAGAATTGCTCCCTTCTGTTTGACCGGTGTTGCTAGGCCGCTTGGGTCGTACAGTCCAGCTACTTGGCTTAAGAGAGCCCTCCTTGTCAGGGGGTTGGGTGTTTCAGTTCTCACCTCCTCTTCGAGAAGATCTTTGCCGACTCTCATCTTCTTCTTTCTTTTGGAGAAGTTGACAGAGGTTAGCATGTACAGCTTGTCTTCATCCACTTGGTAGCCGATGCCCAGAGCTTTGTTGTCTTCTTCCCTCATTTGATTTGGAAGAATGAAAGTTTTCCCTTGTTCCTTTAGGACTTCTGTTCCCATCCCTTTCCTCCCACTTTGACCTGATCGGACCCATGGTTTGAGGAAGAAACCGCCAGCTTTCAAGATCTCTTCAACTTTTGTTATGATTTTGCCCAGTCTGTTCAGGTCGTTGTGGGAGGTTAAGAGGTCGTGGTTCAGTGGTTCTTGTTGAGCCAATCTTTTTCCCATATTTGTCAGAACGGTCAGGCTTCTCCATCTTGTCAACAACTCTGAGCTGTTCAAGTCTCTCAAGAACGTCTTCTTGGTTCTTGAGAAAGGTCAGGAGCATGTCAAAGTGGTTATCTGACTTGACATTGTTCTTTGGCTCCACCATGAACATCACCCAGTCTCTTTTTATGAACTCCGGCAACTTGCTCTCAATTGATTTGATCACTAGTGGGTTTTTTATGGCTCCAGAATTTCCCAACTCGGTCAGGTCTGCCAGGGCCTTCTCCACAGACTGAATGAGGTCGATGACCTTTCTTGGTTGGTTCCCTTTCACAGGTGGCATCTTTTCCAGCTCCTCGAGGATCTCAAGTGTGATAGTTGAGTTGTTGCCAAACCTGTTATCCAACACTCTGAACATTTCATTCGCTGAGGTATAGGTTGAAAGTCTCAGATCTTTAGAGATTTTGTCATAGACACTCTCCAGGAGTTGGATTTTCCTCACTTCAGGCGATCCAGAGGGCTCTCCTTGCCTTTGCAGGCTCTCCCAGTCTTTCTTCCATCTATGGTAGTCTCTTTTGCTGCCGTTGAAGATGGGTAGAGAGGTTGGCTTTATTCTAATAATTGGTGGAGTTACAGGTTGTTGGGGAGATGCCACTCCTGTGCCTTGTTCAGCATGCCGTGCCTTTGCAAAATCAAACTTTCTGCTTTCCAGCCTACAGTGGGATGTGTTGATGTCCTTGATCCTCCCGTTCATTTGATCCTTTAAGTCCTCTGGTGTCCATTTTTCCCATATGGACATAGCTGAGATGGCTTTGTTTACCCTCTTTTCCATTAGAGTTAGGAGCACTTCGTAGCCCTCGAAATTGGCACTTGCCACAGGAACATTGTTCGCTTGGTCAATTGTTTTTTCTGCTTCAAGGTTTGCTGTTTCGAGTTCACCTCTCCCATGCTTTGACCACAGAATATTTTCAACAAAGTCTCTCAATTCCTCCTGCTTTATTTCAGCTTCTTTGGTTGAATTTTCAAGGTCAGCCTCATGCTGCTCATTGAGACTTGCTTCTGGTTCCGCATCCTTTAAGTCAGCCTCCAGTCCAATTCTGTAATCTTCATTTGCATCCAGCACCTTTCTGAATCGGCAGTTTAATTTTGTGAACTCCTCCTCCAGTTCCTCTTGCAACATCTTGTTCCCTCCTCTTAGGATGAAGTTGGCCTGTCTTGTGAGGCTGCTTTTTGCAATGGTCCTCTCTTTCTTGAGTTCCTTGACCGTCTTCCCCAAGACTTCTTCCGCCATTTTTTTCTTTTTCCTCTTGAGGTTCCTTTTTGGTCCACAGCTTATCTTGATCTCCAACCTGCTTGCTTTGGTTTACAACTGTCAAGTTCCCGCAGTTTTAAGTTCCAAATGACCCAGGACAACTCGATTTCCAACTCAATCAACTTTTTTATTTTCCAACTTTTCATTTGGTTCTTGGTTGATTGGTTGTTCTTTTCATCAGGTTGTAAACCTTCAAGACAGAAACAACAATTAGCAACATGCCATATCAAAGAATAAATCACTTTTAACAATTCAATAATTAAATTTTAAATGTTGCCATTAATTTAAACACATTTAAACATTTTTAGTTAATCAACCAATGTTTTAACCAATTAATTTATTTAAACTAAGTGTTTTAAGGCAGCTTATCAAGTTAAACATTCAATTATTTTTGTAACTTTTGTACATCGAGTTTAAACTTTAAATGATATGTTTAAGCATTTTAAATTGTCTTTAGATTAAACTAAACTTTTAAATTGTAAAAGGTAAGTAAATTCCAATGTAAGTAAATTTTAAACTTTTAACTTAGACCTTCTTCTTAAGCAAATAAGCAAGATAAATTAGGGCCTTTTCAAATAAAGTTCTACCAACAAATCAGTACTTAAACTTAAAGCAAATGTTGCTGCAATGCAATACTTCCTTTTCCCACGATACATTTTAACAGTAGCACTTAACAAGCAGCATCTCTAACACATTTCAAACACACAAGGTAAGTGAAAAGACTACCGACCATTAGCGTCATGGAACTTGTATAGTTGAGTGGTTCTTGATTCTTTGTCCTTTTTGTGGAGCTGCTTCTGCTTGAAGTTGTTTGCTCTTTTGTTCTCTGCCACAACTCACACAGCTTTTCAGGTGTTCCTAATCAGCTGACACCCAAAGGTTGGCCATCTTTGGTGTACAGGGCGGCCATTTTAGGTGTACCAAGGGGCGGCCATCTTGAATGTCCCATGGGTGGCCATCTTGGGAGTACAAATCTGAGTTTTGGAGGTTTACCTCGACAGTTAGGGGAACAAAGTGTACAGCCTTGGAAAACCGGTCCACTATGGTAAGGATGGTAGTGTTACCTTCAGAAGGAGGCAAACCTGAGACAAAGTCCACAGCTATATGTGACCAAGGATGCCTGGGGTGGGCAGGGGGCGCAGCAATCCAGCGGGAGCCTGGTGGGATGGTTTGCTGTGAGCACAGACAGACAGGAGGACACAAAGGCACAAGTATCCTGGGACATAGTGGGCCACCAAAACCAAACTCAGCCTGAGACCAAAGTATGGTCTCAGGCTGAGTTTCCTCAATCTCAGGGGCAGATTGACGGGAGAGGGCATCAGGCTTGATGTTCCTTGAGCCGGGGCGATAGGTTAGGGAGAACTCAAATCTTCCAAGGGAGAGGGCCCAACGAGCTTGTCTAGAATTGAGCCTCCGGGCTGAATGTAGATAAGCTAGATTTTTTGTGATCAGTCCAGACAATAAATGGTTGCTCAGTTCCCTCTAGCCAGTGTCTCCATTCCTGTAATGCCAGAACCACAGCTAATAACTCACGGTTGCCAACGTCATAATTACGTTCAGCAGGTGAGAGTCGATGGGAGAAAAAGGCACAGGGATGTAACTTTTGATCTGCGGGACATCTCTGGGAAAGGACTGCACCAACTCCAGATTCTGATGCATCCACCTCAACAATGAAGATGGGGGTCTGGATGGGTCAGGACAGGGGCTGAGGAGAACAGCTGTTTTAACTTGGTGAAAGCCGTTTCAGCTCTTGGGGTCCAGGCAAAGGGAGATGAGGTGGAAGTGAGTTGGGTGAGTGGAGTGGCAACCTGACTGTAGTTCCTAATGAAGCGTCTGTAAAAGTTGGCAAAACCTAGAAAGCGTTGCAGTTGCTTACGGTTTGAAGGTGTGGGCCAGTCTCTCACTGCTTGGGTTTTGGCTGGGTCTGCCTTTAACTGCCCCTGCTCAATGATGAAGCCCAGGAAGCTCACTGAAGGGACGTGGAATTCGCATTTCTCCGCTTTAACAAATAGTTTGTTCTGGAGGAGTCTGCGGAGAACTAGCCTGACATGTAGCACATGCTCCTGCATGTCCCTGGAAAAAATGAGGATATCATCCAGGTAAACAAAGATGAACTTGTTGAGCATGTCCCGGAGCACGTCATTTACTAGAGCCTGGAAGACAGCGGGGGCATTTGTTAGACCAAAGGGCATAACTTGGTATTCAAAGTGGCCCAGCGGGGTGTTGAATGCTGTCTTCCACTCATCTCCTTCTTTGATTTGAATTAGGTGGTATGCATTGCGTAGCTCCAGTTTGGAAAAGACTGTAGCATTTTGCAGGGGTTCAAAGGCTGAATCAATAAGGGGAAGTGGGTACTTATTTTTGACAGTGATGGCATTTAAACCTCTGAAGTCTATGCAGGGGCGTAGGGACTTGTCTCTCTTCTCCACAAAGAAAAAACCAGCACCAAGAGGAGAAGAAGAGAGGCGGATTAGACCAGCAGCTAAAGATTCATGAATGTACTTCTCCATGGATTCCCGTTCAGGTTTAGAGAGGTCATACAGACGGCTGGATGGTAAGGGGGCCCCAGGGAGCAGATCAATGGAACAGTCATAAGGACGGTGAGGGGGAAGGGAAAGGGCTTGTGATCTGCTGAACACCTCACCTAAATCATGATACTCTGGAGGCACTGAGGTTAAATCTGGAAGTTCAGGGAGTGAAAGGCTAGGGCTGACTTGAGACAGTTCGAGTGGCAGAAAGTTCTCCAATTAACAATTGCACCTTGAAACCAATCAATGTGGGGGTTGTGTAACCTAAGCCAGGGTAAACCAAGAACAATGGGGACCTGAGGTGAAGGGAGAACAAAAAACTTGATTGTTTCCCGGTGATTTCCTGAAACTAAGAGTGTAATAGGGGTGGTGCAATGGGTCACTTTAGCCAATAACTTTCCGTCAAGAGTACAAACTGTCTTGGGGGAATCTAAGGGTTCAGTGGGAATGCCAGCCTGGCTCACAATAGCAGAATCAATAAAATTATCATCAGCCCCAGAATCAACTAATGAAATCAGAGGGATTGACTCACTGTTCCAGAGGAGAGAGGCCTGAAGATATATTCAGTTGGGAGGGGCCACTATGGAGGAGGTGGTGTGGCTCATCAGGGACCCCTTGGTTGCTGATGAGCCTCGGCTTTTGGTCGCTGGGGGCAGGTAGCCAGGAAATGTCCAGAATTGCCACAGTAGATGCAGAGGCCTGAGTTCATACGGTGCTGCCGTTCTTTTGGAGTGAGGTGTGCTTCAGCCACTTGCATGGGTTCCTTTGCTGATGGGGAATCATTTGACTCAGGGGAAGCTTCGATAGCACACGGAGACCCTGGGAAGCATGGGGGCAAGGACTGAAAAGGGGAAGGGGCCCTAAAAGTAGGGATACAAGCAGCTTTGGCTCTGCGTCGTTCACGCAGCATATTATCAAGGCGGATTGAAAGGGAAATTAGGGACATAAAGAAGAAAGAAAATTTAAAGAATAAGGAATTAAGTGAATTAAACAAGGCAAATAAGCATTTGGAGTCTTGGATAAGGGTTCACACTCTACACTGTGACTACCAATCATGATTTAAGTCCTTAAACAATCCTTAAAATAAGGTGATAAAAAGTGACACAATGTGGTAGAATATGTCAACATACATATTCTACCGTTCTTTAGAAAAAAAACACAGGAGGTAATGATTCAGCTAAGAAGTAAGCAAAGTGATGTTACATCATGCAGCTCTTAATTACAACCGTGGTGGACATGGTCAATTTTTCTCTATTTCTCCATGTGTTATCAGGTTATTGTAATAACGGATGTTTAAGTGAAAGCTGTAAATAATCTTGAAATGCTGCCCACCACAGTGATGGTTCCTGCTCAAGATTTCAGCAAACACAAATTGGTCACCAGATTCTGCTTTACTCATAAAAAAAGTAGTAAAATCTAAAAATACAACTACAATGATCACAAACCACATTCAAACCTTTTACAAAAAAATGAGATGAATAATATCAACATTGTTTACACTAAAAAAGAGCCCTCTATCCTTTCCCTCCTTCACTCCTCCTCCTCCAACCTGGCCCCCCGGTCTTTCCTTCTCCTCTTGCCTGGCTCCTCTGTTTTCCTCCTCCTCCTGCCCAGCCCTCCTTTCTGCCAGCCACAGCTCAACACTTTTCTTCTCATACAGAGCACAAAAGAAAGCCTTTTTCCTCCCCACCGCATGCTGGCTGTGGCCAAAATCCTTTTGAAAGGGTTGACCAAACTTCTGGCAGACCCGCAGCTTATATGGTTTTCTTGTTGTTTTCCCATCTGGCTGCCCAGCCCTTTCACTGTGCCATCCATTGGTTCCCACAGAGTCTTTGAATCGCATCCCTTCTCAGAGGGGCAGAAGAACTCGCCCCTGAAGTAATCATGCTTGGCCTGGTGGTGTCTAGCATGGCCACAGATATCACAGACACCTGCAGGCTGAGATTAGGGGCTTGTGTCCCTGGCCTTCCGGAGCACCTCCCTGTCTTTCTCTGCTCTTATTTTCTTTCTATATAAGGTCGAGCCAGTTGGGCTGGGACTAGGTGAGGAGGAGGAGGATATAGAAGTGCACTGGACAGCATGGTCAGCAGTGGAACTTAAAGTTGTGGATGTTAGGGGGACTGAGGAGCCAGTTGTGGACCTGGAGGTGGTGGCAGCAGATGTGGATCCAGATGTAGAGGAGATTGAGGGGCCAATAGCAGACCTGAAAATAGTGGTGGTCCTGCAGGTGGATGGTGTGGCAGAGTCCATCACGTCTACCCCCCCCAATCCTACCTTCACACTCATTAATCCCGCGGGTGAAGGTTGATTATATGTCCAGATCATCAGCAGCAGCACTGGATGAAGACAACTCTGAGAGTCTCCAGTCTACAAAAGAACAAGACATTCGCATATCAGCATCATTTACATCACTGAGAGGTTTGGATATTGAGTAAAATGTTGATGAAGTGGAAGACCGAAGCTTTGAAAGTCATTTCAGGCCTAAATTCAAATGAAAATCTTACTAGGACAACATTTCAAATATGGACTTTTGTTACCCTAGCCCCACTGTTTAATATAAAACATTTTCATATCTTAAATTTGATGTTAATAACTTTTTTTTAAAACATTGGGACAGGGCTGTGTTTATCATTGTGTTGCATTGTTGTTATTTTAACAAAATGCAAAACATTTGGAGATCAAGTTTCTTGAGTTTTGAAAGTGAATTGTTGTCCCATTTTTGTGTTATTTAAGATTTCATTATTGACAAATGTGATCACTCAGTTCTCACAGATTGGTAAACTGCACCCCATCTTTACTTTTGAGAGACTCAGCTTCTCTGAAACACAATTTTTTTACTCTCAGTGGTGTTATTAACCTGTTGCAAATTAGCCGGATTAGTTTGGAGGTGTTCCTCAAGGGATTTTTAAGCATCACACATTTCTGTCCTCTTCGTCCAAATATTTTTGAAATGTTACTGGCATCGATGTAATGGTTTATTTTCCTGAAGGGACCCAAAAGCAGGCAGTGGAGGCAGAGGAAGCTTTAAATGGTTTTATTAATAAGGATAGGTGCAGGATGGCTAGAGGTCCGTTGTCCAAGGGGTGGAGGAGATCCGTGGTGAAGGGGTGAGGCTGTATGTGAGCCGGAGAAGACAACAGGTGAGTGGAGCTGAACAGAGAGTGTGGCAGTCGTGACAGAGGTTGGGTAGGCGCTGGCGGCTGGTGGAGGTACTAGAAGAGAAGGAAGACAACAGGGGTAAATATCAGGCTGAGCAGTCACAGAAAAAGTCTCAAAATCTTAAAAATACTCACTAGAGGCATAGATACCACTGTACCAAGTGGGAATAATCAGGCACTGAGCAGTCAGAGAGCAGAGTTTGAGAGCAGGTTGTGATTAGCTTGATCTGGTGCAGGTGTGAAGGTGCAGGAGGAGCTTCAGCTGACGAGAAGCCGCCCAACTTCTGTGAGGGGAAAAAGGGAGACTCCACACACAAAAAAGACTCCGGCCCAATCCCAAACCGCCCCCTACACACTCACCCTTCACTACCGAGTGTCACTCGTAATTAAGTCACACTCGCAGCTGTGGAGTGCGCCTCAATTTTAAGGGGAGGGTATAAATACGACGGGCGGGTATGAGACGCCTCCCAACTAGACCGAAAAATGGAAGATCTTGTCGCCATGGCAACAAGGAGACGCGCATTGTGCATGGATGTAGCGCTATGGGACAGACTGCAAGGTGCAAGGATCGCTGCTTCATGAAGAAGACGACAGCGTCTTCAACGTTTGTTGGCGTTGCTGCATCAGCAAGAAGTAAATACTACACTGCAATCTCTGCTGTGGATTTCATTAACTTGACATATTTGATAGTGCAGAAGTCGGCAAGGTTCTTATTCGCTATATTATAGTACTATCCCCTGCCAGTCACACAAAAAGCTCAATAAGCACTTACATCTCTTTACTATTATCTTTAGCTAATTATTATGCTACATTAGTGTCTGCTGTGTGTGTATGTATGTATGTAAATATGTTTGCTAAATTATATATATATATATATATATATATATATATATATATATATATATATATATGTTTGTATTTATGTTTAATTTGTCCAGTGACGAAAAAAAAACATAATACAATTTCTTCTATGTGTTCACAAACTTTGCCAATAAAGCTGATTGTGACTCTGAGGCACTGACACAATACTGTAATGACAGACCAAAAAAATGTTGATCAGATGTTGCTTTCATGGAAATGCACCATTTTACTCTATTTACCTTCAGATATACATTGATGTTATATTGCTAAATATATGTCAGCAAAAGATAATAAGGGCTTAGTTTTAGGGTTGAAAAATTTGCAAGAGTCCCAACTTCAGTGCAAAAGCAAAAAAAACAAATCACAGTTGGATTATTCACTTCAACTTTTTGGCTTTTGAGAGTCTGCATACAAAAATCCTAATAAATCTCAATTGCGTTCAAACTACCGCAAAAATGGCTAGAAAGAAGCAACTGAGTAAAGACACAAAAGTACAGATTTGTACATTGAGGAAAGAAGGATACACAGAAAGGTGTCTAACAAAGGAGTCCACTACACTCTGAAGAGACTAGAGGAACCTGGAAGTTATGATGATAGAAAAAGGCCTGGACGAAAGAGAGTTACTACAAAAGCAGAGGATAAACAGCATTGTCACCAGTAAGAGAGATCGGTGAAAGACAGCACCATAAATAAGGGAGGAAATCGACATGACAAGGTCGAAATCCATATCTCTGACAACCGTGAAATGACGTTTGAGAAAGGCTGGTCTGAAGGGTTGTATATCTGCAAAAAAACACTACTTCGTCCACAGAACAAGAAAAAGAGATATGAGAGGGCAAAAGCTCACAAAAATTGGACTTATGATGACTAGAAACAAGTTTGCACTGTTTGGGTTCAAAACACAGTCTATGTCCGCAGACAAACTGGTGAACGTCTGAAAGCACCATGTGTTACACCCACAATTCAGCATGGAGGTGGTAGTTCTATGGTATGGGGATGTTTTGCAGGTGATGGAGTAGGAGATTTGTTTGACATAAAGGGTATCATGCAGAAGGAACAGTACCACTCCATCCTCCAGCACCATGCTTTTCCATCTGGACTCAGACTTGTGGCTCATAAGTTTGTTTTGCAGCAAGACAATGACCCTAAGCACTCTGCCAAGCTCTGTCAGTGTGACCTAGACAAAAAAGAAGAGGAAGGTGTTCTTCAAAAGATGGTTTGGCCCCCTCAGTCTCCAGACCTTTCTCCAATAGAGCTTGTGCAGGATGAATTGGATCGATCGGTCAGAAAAACGCGTCCCCACGAATCAGCAGTCTCTTTTTAATGAACTTTTTAAGAAAGCTTGGAATGCAATCCCTGGAACATACCTTAGAAAACTTGTGGAACGAATACCTGGTATATGCCAAGCTGTTGTTAAAGCCAGAGGAAGTTACTTTAAAGAAAGCAAAGTCTAAGCAACAATAACTCAAATACCTAATAATTATAGTCAAAATGTCTTCTGATAAGTTACTCTTTACACAATAGTCATGTTTATTGTGTTTCAAATTATGTATATGAAACTATGATCTTTTTTTGTACAAATCTGATCTTGCTTGCAAACTTTTGGCCTGTAGTGTACATTGTGTTTCCTCTACAGCCTCACGCATGGCCTTTCCCTATCTGTGGTGGCTCGTGCCTTTGGGGTCCCCAAGTCCACCGTATACCGGGTGATCCACAGGGTTGCAGGCGAGATCAAGGAGAAACTCAACACCATGATCTCCTTGCCCTCGCCGGAGGAACTGCCGAAAATATGTAAAGACTTCTGCTGGCTTGGCTAAACACAAGTCTTTAGCAGTGCAGCTGGTGCACTAGATGGAGGCCACATTCATTATTGTGTCTGCCTTTCTTTTACGTGTCACATTTGAAGAGGAGGAAGTGGGTGAAGGAGCAGGCGAGGGAGCGGGTGAAGGAGCAGGCGAGGGAGCATTTGAGGGAGCAGATGAGGAAGCAGGTCACATTCCTGGCTCAGGGAACATGACAAAGGTGGAGACATCACACATGGAATCGTTTTTAAGAAACTAATTTATTACTGAAAATCAAAAAAAAAGATACTGGTTGTAGTGTGTGGCTGTATATGGTGGTGTGCATGTGTGTGTGTGTGTGCAAGCGTGCATGAATAAGACCATAAACAAACTCCAAACTCCCACTGCCCATTGGCTCAAAAAGCCCAATAACTAGGGGCCTAATGACGGAGGTCTGTCCAGCATGGAGATCAGAGAGAGACTGACTGACCTGGCTGAGCAGTTATGTCTACTGCCACACCCAGCCAGGTGCCAGTCATCTCCCTAATGAGCTCCTCCAACTCTGGCAAAAAAGACTAGACGGCAGCATGACCTCAAGAGGCCATCACAGGGGAGACCAGGAGGCCATCACACACCCCCGTTTAAGACAGAGGTCCCACCTCTGACCCTGTAAGACAGGGTCAGAGGTGGAGCTATACAAGATATATGACCAAGTCATCCAAATAGACTGCACAGCCATCCAGCCCACGCACTACCTTTTTCATTAGTCTTTGAAATGTAGCTGGAGCATTTCGCAATCCAAAGGGCATAACATTATAATAATACAAACCAGAGGGATTCACAAATGAACAGATTTCTCTGGCTCTTTCAGAAAGAGGCACCTGCCAGTAACCCTAAAGGAGGTCAAATTTACTGACATATTTAGCAGAACCCACTTGATCAATACAATCATCCACCCTAGAAAGAGGGAAGGAATCAGGCTTTGTAACAGAATGAACTTTTCTGAAGTCAGTGCACGGTCTAAACATGGCATCAGGCTTACTGACAAGGAGACAGGGAGAAGCCCAACTGGAGGTAGATGGTACAGCAAGACCATTTTCCAACATACATTCTACCTCTGCATCCAGCACCTTTCGCTTTTCTGGACTAACCCTGTAGAATCGCTGAGTAATAGGTTTTGCATCCCCCACATCAACATCATGCTCAATTCAATTTGTACATGTAGGTGTGTCAGAGAAAAGACCTGGGTATCTGTGTATAATCTCCCCTAGTTGTTCACACTTAGTCGCATCTAAATGTCCCATGAGTGAACCCAAGTTGGCCAGAGTTTCAGAATTTTTCACCCGAACACTCTTCCTCCTCCTGTACAGTACTGGCCACTAGCACTGGATTACCCTGAGAATTGTCATTAGAAAGCTCACGTGCATAATAAGGTTTGAGTAAATTTACATGACAGAACTTAACTGACTTTCTTTTATTTGGCATCTCAATTAGGTAGTTTTGTCTGTAACCTGACCTACATTACAGGGGCCAAAAAACTTAGCCTGAAAAGGGGATTCAACCAGTGGCACTAGAACCAAAACCTGGTCGCCTGCACTGAATTCACGTCGCTCTACATTTCGGTCAAAGAGCTGCTTCATGGGCAAGCCCTCCTGCCAATCTTCCTTTAACTCAGTGCAGTAAGCATGCAGCAATGATTTCAGATGTCGATGAAAACGCTCAAGTGCCCCTTGACTCTGTGGATGATATACTGAAGACATGTTATGAGCTATATGAAGTTGTTTAAGAACTTGGGGAAACAGCCAAGAAGTAAAGTTAGAGCCTTGATCAGTTTGTATGATTTTGGGAATTCCAAACACCGATATAAACTGACTAATTGCCTTTACCACAGACTTTGCACTGATTGACCGCAGTGGATAGGTGGCCAGATATCTAGTCGACTGACACATTATAGTCAACAAATAGGAACAACCTGACTTGGACCGGGAAAGAGGTCCCACACAATCAACTATCAGGTGTTCAAAGGGCTGATTCACTGCCAGAATTGGATACAGAGGTGTTGGTTTTAACATTTAATTAGGCTTGCTTGTAATTTGACAAGTATGACATGTTTTTATATATTTAGCCACATCACGTTTTACACGGGGCCAGAAAAAATTCTGGATCACACAATGGTTGGTCTTTTTTACACCCATATGGCCTGCAACACTATCATGTGCTGTTTGAATCACTGATGTTCTGAATTTTTCAGGCAGTATAACTTGCACTATGGGGTCACCACTAAATCCATCTCCATAAGGAGCCCAAAATCTAAGCAGGATGTCATCCTGGAGCACATATCCCTGCCTAAGTTTTCCCACCTCAGAGGAAGGCAACACCAAACCATACAGAACCTTCAGACACTGGTCCTTTTTCTGTTCTTCCACCAGCTCTGAACGGGGAACACAAAGATCATTTGGCATAGCTAAGGAAAACATCTTGACCTCAGAATTGTCCATATTTACCCCACTGTCAGTCATGGCAGTCATAGCTCGAGTCACAGCACAAACTGTTTCACAAACTCATTTACCTGCAGTGACTGTGGAGCACAGACTGAAGCCACTGCTTGATCTTGTGCAGCGTCCTCTACAGGATTTAGAGAGGAACAACGTGACAAATCTAGCTGTTCATTTTTCTGTGACACCTGAGGCGCATCAACACCCTTTGGAGTAGCTGGAGAGGATAGACATGTCAAATGTGGCCGCTTGACTTGAACTGACTCTTGGGATGTTTGTGCAAATACGGGCCTTACATCATCCGGCCACATACGCCCATCAGGTACCAGATCGTTCCCCAAGATTATGTCAACGCCCTTCACTGGCAGTTCTGCCTGAACAGCAACCTCCACGTCCTTCTGGAAGAAACCACATGACAAGA